TTCTACCCAGAGTCAATATTTTATTTTATCTGTTCCCCCTTCCCTTCACATTAAGCTTAGTTGTGGCATGAATGTTTGATGTGAAAGCAGGATCATTAAGAAAAAAAAATGAAACCAACCACGGTTAACTACTGCTTATTTCTCCTTGGTGCTCAGCCTGTTCAAGAAGATATGATTGATCACCTATTGACTACAATGGCACAAATAAGATGTGAAAATGCAGAGTTATGTTTCCTGTTGGGGTGGTTAAACAGATCAGCTGAGAAACAAAGGTTTCTGCTCATATCTTAGAGTACAGTATTGTTCCTTAGTTAGTGGTAATGAAGGAATGAGCAACCTGCAGATCATTCCCCACTTGCCCTTAACTATAGTGCAAACCTGACCTGGCTATATCATTTTTTCTGACTTGTCTCCCTGACATTGTCTTCATTTTGTTTCCAGCTCACAAGTGAAACAGCCTTAGGTTATTTTTAGCTGTTAAGCTTATTCTGACACTGTATCACAACAGCCTTAAGGTGTGTAACATCTGTTAGCCTTTGTCACCCATTAGTTTGGAGGGAGGTTAAGTGACTGCAGTGAGTGGGAACAGAGGCAATAGAGACAGGATAGGGATCAACAATGGGGACAGCAACTTTCCTGCCAGTATTATCTTTTGCTGACTCCCGAATAGGTGGAGAACACTTTGGTGAAGCAATGGGGAATGGTTAGGAGTCTAATTTCCACAGCTGTCTACAAAGAATCTTCTGACAAGATTGACATGGCTCTCTCCCAGGCAGTGTCTGCAAGCAATCCTTTATATCAGTGTTTCTCAACCTTGGCAGCTTGAAGATGTGTGGACTTCAACTCTCAGAATTCTGAGCACGCTGGCTGGGGAATTCTGAGAGTTGATGTCCACACATCTTCAAGCTGGCAAGGTTGAGAAACACTGCTTTATACATTCTCCACATTCTGAAGAACATAGCTCCTGACAGAAGGAAAAATTCTCTTGGTCTCTGTTGTAATTCAACAGAGCTAGGCTTGGCAATAAACTTTGAGTATATGAAAAGTTTCTGTTGATCAGAGAAAAAATTCCCATCCAGCTTCCCTACTACTCAGTTTTGCTGACATCTCTGTCATCAGTTATGCCTGTTAACCATCATCCCACCCTGTCAAACCCTTTCTCTTGCAGTCGTTTAGGCACCACTGGTCAAATTATATGTTGCAATGAATCCCTCAATGAACAGAAGCTCACCTAACTGCTAATGGTACAATCTTTCTGCAAATTTAGATTCATACTTACTATTTAGGTTCAGTTGTTTACAGATTCAAAATAAGAAAACAGTGATTGTGGTAGGTATAAATGTTTGGACATCCTTTCAGTCATTACTTTGTAACACCTCCTTTGGAACAAAGAAGAGCTTCCAAACATTTCCTGTAGTTAGCAAAGGGTCTTTTTATTCTTGCATTGTACTCTTCCTTGCAGAAGTCTTCTAGCTGAAAAATATCCTATAGTATCCTTGTATCTTCCCATATATTTTCAATAATATTCATATCTGGGAACTATGAAGACCATTCAAAAACCTTTGTCTTCATTTCCTTTAAGAACTTCATAGTTGATTTGGGAAATGTTTCAGTTTGCTGCCTTGCTGAAATATCCATTCTCTTCTCAGCTTTGGTTTTTCCCCCAAGGGATTCAGTGAAACACACAATTTGACCAGAGATGCCTAAACTTTTGCATATAATTGTGACGTGACGGCATATGTAGAGGAAGAAGAGAGAGATGAGAATCTGCCCCTCCTTTCTCTGATGCTATGATGTACTAAGTTGCTGATGGGATGTCAGTGGGGGTTGTAGCCTTCCTAAAGCTTGTGGTGTTGTTGTTCAGTCGTTAAATTGTGTCCGACTCTTCGTGACCCCATGAACCATATCGCGCCAGGCCTTCCTGTCCTTCACT